AAGCTAAAAGAATTTCAGACTGGCCGCCAGAACTGCCAGGAAACTTCCTCTCAAAATTTCAGTCTTCCAGCTTCTCACGTCCTCGAGTTAGCAACTTACCCGGAAGAAACTTTCACAGGCCCGTACGTAGGTACCGCGCTTATTCGCGGGCAGGGTTTGAACTCTTCAATACCTACTTGGACGGGGAACATCGCCCTAAGATTTCAGCGTTCTAGCTTTTCAGATCCCTCAGTTATGAACTTACCCCAAAAAACTTTGGTGGGCCCGTGCGCGGGTACTACGCGGGTGATGGCGCCTATTCCCGAAATTTCAGCTCTGCAGCTTTTATAGGTCTTGAGATGAAAGTGCGTGAGAGACGCACACACAGACACATGGACACACTGACAACCCCTCGTCAATATGCGTTTTTTTTGCATTGCATAGCTGCAAAAAATGCATAATAAGTGCTTTAAGATGCGAATTGGGGAATAACACAAACAAAAGGTACAGCTACTGAGCTTAATGGAAAATGATTCTATGTTCTCGTCTTATTTACTGCAGAGAGGAAGGGATGCCAAAATATCATAGTAATAAGCTTTGTTAACAAAAATTGCCCGCTGACGGAGCTATTGATTGTTCCCTCGTCCGGCGACCAGCCTGAGAATCAAGCTTGCCAGTGTTATTTACCATCAAAATGCACTAATAAGTAATGGAGGGACTGGTTTCCTGGCTGACGCATTCAAATCAAAGTTCGAGCAAACGGCAATTATTGTTATTGCCAGGCTCTCTCTGGTAAGTACCTTTGTTGCAGGTATGAGCAGTATGCTTTCCACCGTCCGGCGCTATCATTTTCTCTGCGTTGCCGTGATCGGCTGTCACCATCAGAATATAGCCATTTTTTTTGCATGCCTCATAGATTCGTCCAATCGCAGTGTCTAAAAAAGCAACCAAATAACAAATGAAAACAATATTCTGCGAAGTCCCGATTTTTTGGTTTTTTTTTGCTTTTTTTGCGAAAGATGCTTCCCAAATCGCAAAAAATTAACGGGTTAGAGAAATTCACCAGTTGCTTCGACGGCTTTAACGGCGGCTTCATAGATACCAGTATGGCCGACCATATCGGGTGGAGCGAAATTGCACATTATGAAAGGATGTTTCTTTGCATTCAGCTGTTCCACCATCTGAAAAAAAAAAAAATATTTCGAACCATTTTCATTTCTTGTAAAATTTTCAACGCTAAACTTGAAAAATTCTCTTCACTCTACGATGACCTAGCAAAATTTTCAAACAATTCGCTCTTCAACATCAAAAAACAAATCACCTTGTCAGCCACTCCAACAGAACTCATTGGTGGTTGCAGATCATAAGTAGCCACTTTCGGCGACGGTACAAGACAGCGT